ATACATTGGTACAAACCTTTTATAAATCTCTTAAATCTCTTCCTAAACTATTCCAGCAGCATTATAGTTTTGAAGTAGGGAGTGTACTTACCGAAGTACAAAAATCATGACCTAGGAAATTATTTGTATAGACTCCTCTAGATACGATTTAAGAGAATATATGCTGTTGTGACTGAGATAAAACGCATTACTGGTTCAGTCCAAGCAGTCTCAGTGTACAGTGAGGAAGGTACCTGGTTTGTAGAGCTCTGGTACTTGCTTGACTGACTGCTTTTTTTTGTTAATTTCTGTGCAACAGAAACACTAACATGAGAAAGGCTTCTCCTTCTCAAATGAAACAACTCCTTCAGAAGACAAACTTATGGAGACAGTAAAACTGAATCCTGTGACTCAGCTGTGGTGCCAAGAAGCTGCCCTATGTGTCTTTGTTCACTCACTTTCTTCTTGCAACCTGTGTTTCTCTTTGCCTTGGTTCTATGTGTATTATTAAACACATTTTTCTGTGGAAAACTAACACTTGATAACAAATTATTTTCTAATACAACCAACCTGTAATCTTCACTGTCAGAAAGTACAGTTGCTGAGAATTTTTATCCAAAAATCTTGTTTTAAGTGTGTTTAAGGGTCAGTTTGACTCAGTTACATCATGGCTATAACCAGGGGGAAGAAGGAAGCTTACACATGGGCTAGTAATTCAAGGGTAGCATTAAAAAGGAGGAGTTCAGAGTTCATGTGGTATGTGTTTCTTGGCCAGCAAGAGGACAGCAATCTGCTGGAAACCATTTCAATGCAGGGTTTGGGATCTAGGGTTATCTTGCTTTGCCCTTATACTGCTCTGACATGGTGTGTTGTTTGTAATGCCTGACTCATCCATGGAAAGGCTAGAAGAGGAAGGGCTGAAAGTATGAATTGTGGTGGTTCTTTTTTGTGGTGCGTTCGTTTCTGAAAATAGAAGCATTTAATAGGTGGATAATTGTATGAAGAAACAGGAGAGATCATGATGGCTCAGACTTCACTGTGAAGTTCCTAGGTATGTTACAATATGTATGTTGCTTTACAGGTAATACAGTCTTAGTGCAACTGTTTCAGTTCTCTAAGAGGATGTACTGTATGTTCTGTTTGAGGAATAAGACCTTGTTTCATTTCTTTGTATAAGAGACTATAGGAGTAGAAAACTCACTCAATCACTTTGAAACCTTTCTTTTGTGGGGTGGTTTGAAAGAAAATAGTTACTTGCCAAATGTGTGCAAATGTACCTATGCAAAAAATACCCTGTATGTGTTTACACAATCACATTGATGGTATTAACTGACTCTTCTGCTAGTAAAGAGACAAAGTGACTGTCTGTGCCGAGCAGACAGGAGCACTCTCTCAAGAAGCGCAGATAGTACCACAAACGACTTACCTGACTTTGTGTTGGTCTGGTGTAATAATCTTCTGCCTGAGCTTAAAGAAAAAACAAATACAAAAAATAGCATCAAGGTTTTTTATAAACCTTAATGAATTTATATTCTCTAGAATTTTTTTTATCTACAGAAGCAAAAACTGGGTCTGATTTGCTCTTGTTACGCAGAAATGTGGGCATTTATAGGTTATGTCTGGCAGAGCCAGGAATAGATCAGCTGTTGTGACTCCATATCCAGTGCCTTAAGTACATGACTGACCTTCCTCTACTAGCAGAATATCTCTATTCCATATGTTGTTATAAAACCCTTACTTGAAGCTACTAACTCTTACTAAGAGCTTTTCAATTCTTGCCCACTCAAGTTAGTCATGCTTTCTTTAGTGGCACTAAGTAGAAGTGGTTTATATTTTGAAGTATCTAAAAAGTATCTGCACAGTGTTTTCAGAACTGTATCTGGTAGCTTAGTGACAAAAATAGGAGTGAAACGCTGCACAAACGTATTCATTTTACAGAGCTCTCAAGCAGGTGAGCTGGATCTGATTTCTTTCCTGGCCACCAACACCAGCAAAATTCTTTGCCAACCTGCCATGGACAAGTCAAATCTTTTACCTGTAGAAAAAAAAAGTGATTATGTATGTTCCCCTGGAGGCATAGTTGGCTTTCAAAGCCTTTCTCACATTTATCAACAGAACTCCTCTTGCCTTGCAGATAGTGAAATGATTCTGCAAGGCTTGCACTTAGAAGTTGAAATGTATTTTATTTTGTTTTATTTTATTTGTGTTTGTGAAATTTAAGAGATGAAGGTATTCCTCAGTGCCATTTTTAGTACTCTTGGGTGCAACTGGTGTGTACTTTCATTAGTATAAGTAAATTACTGTATTATTTTTGTTTAAAATCAAATCAGATCTGAATATTGGATTTGTATTAGCAAGTCAAACATAACACTTAAGTGTTTGCTTACTTTGTAAATACGTCTGGTCTGTATATCTGACTGGAGAAGATAAAATACAGATAGTCTCACTGAGAAAAATAATCCTCTGCTTCACCTTGCAGACAAATAGGTCAGTGTTATTCACAGAACAAAAAGCTACATGTGCTTTTTAAGAGCCAAGGACCTTCAGTACCCAGGGGTAAGGAAAAATGGCTTGGGTTATTTTTGTTTCTTTCCCAGTAAAGCCACTAATGCAATGCACCAAGATTTACAGTTACTGTTTCCCAAACATTTTTCTGTAAGACCCAAGGAAAAAATATCGTAGAGGGAGTTTTTTGTTCTGGTGCTGCACACATACGCATGTCTAATATTCCTGGGAGTAAAATGCCTACAGGAGCAGCCTCTGGCACCACAAGTTGTTTTCTGAATCTTACAGCAAAATTTTGAAGCTATATGATAGAATTTTTCAGAACATGCTCCCATAGGAAATAAAAACTTTGTGCCTGAAAGGTAAAAACCTAATTGGAAACTCTTGACATTTATCATAGCTATCTCTGGTAGAAAAAGATGTTCATTCAAAATGTTACAGAATTAACACTTTAAACTTGATCTCTAGCATCATTTTTTATTCTTCTGATTTCTCAAAACAGTCATAAGGATTTTGGACTGGAGCTTAAGTGAGAAAAATAACAGTAGATAAATACAATTCCTTAAAGCTAGAAGATTAGTTTCTATGCATCTGCTGGTGCTATAGACTCAGTGTAAAATGAGTCAAAGTTAAAACTGAACGTTTATTATTGAGGCAAGGAAGTGGCTTTATCTGCTGTATTTTAGCTGGTTTTATGGCTTTATTAAAAGCTCTTGTTTTAAAGCTAACTGAACAAGGATCAAATGTCTGCCTCCAAACAAGTTCTCTTTGTGAGCTGGCATCAGTTTCCTAGCAGTTTTTTTCCACCTTGCATGTCTCAGTCAAGGACAACAGGTTTTGAAAGTTATTTGTCTTTACTTCCTATTCCTTGGCAGTATTTTATTACTATTTGACAGCTGCAGGTAAAATGCCAGTGTGTTCTAGGTTTTAGTTTTTGGGAGGGAGCTGTACTCTTTTTTTTCTGTTTGTGGTGGTGTTCTTGTTCATCAGTAGAATTTACCAAAGCCCAACTGATTTTAGGATTCCTGGAAAGTAGTTTAGCATGAAAATAGATGCTTTGAATCTGTGGATTCTGAAGTATTTTACTGGTGCCGGTGACTTGTTATGTAGATTTTGCTACTTACAAAACTTTCAAAACAGAAAATTACATGAAATCACATTGTTTATCTCTAACTTGCCAGTATCTAGCTTCTTATGTCCTGGAGATGAGATTTTTTTTCCGAGACATTTTGGGATTGCTACAGAGTGTGCTCATCTTCAGTTCCTGAGGGGAAAGACCACTGTCAGTATGTTCTAGTGAATTTTAGCATGGATTATTATAATATTTGCCAATATTTGCTAGGACATGTGTATCAGATGTGTGCTAAAGAATATACTTGCAGTAACTTTCTGTGAAACTACCGTAGTCTGTATATCTGATACATTATTGTTTGAGATGTTACAAATACATCAAACATAATTTTTGCACAATGTCTGCAGTCTTCACCTGTGGTGAGCAATGTTTCTGATGTGAACTGCTCGTTCAGGAGTTATAAAAGGAATATCCAATATCACAGTTCTAACATCTGTTTAATAATTTATTTTACAACAGGATTATTGCTTACTCATACTGCATAAGAACAGAAAACTGTTTTTATGCTATTAAACACATTACGAGACCTTAAAAAAAGATTATAGCTTGCCTTATCGTATAAGCGATGTGAAATCTTACCCTTTTTGACAAAGGAGGAAAGAGAATCCGTGTCTTCCTTAGCAGAACCATGTTAATGAAACCAGACTTGTTGTGCAGATATTTGATACATAAAGTAAATATGTGAGTGGGAGTGATCAACAACTCGAGTTCATAAAACAGTCTTAAATTTCACTTACTTGTAACATGCCACATTTTTAGGCTTTTGTTGCATTGCAAAGGTAGAAGTTGTGTTTAAGTAAAAAGGGAGTTTTGTTGCTGCTTTGAATAAAGTTAGTTGAGAATCATGGAACTGAGCTCCATGAATTCAGTGCGTCTAGGCTTCTGCTCATTTACTTTTGCGAAGCCCTAAGATCAGAAGCACTGAAGTATATTTTGTTTGCTGGAAAAAGCCAGGAAAAAAGCCCCAACAACACTGTAACCACTCCATGAAATGTGCTAGTATACAGTCTTCAATGATTTGGTTTTTGGTTTGGTTTTGACATTGAAGACAGGGTTCCAAGTCATAGAAATGCATGTTTTTCTGCTTATTTTTATAGCCAGAGATATCGGTGTGAGCCTCTCCAAGAACAGAAGATGAGTTTTCTAGCTCCTTGGTTGGTTGATTTCTAGTTAGTCCTACCCCAGTGTTTTCTGTAATTAGCTTTGAGTAGGACTGCGTTCGCATAAAGAGAGTGACGTTTACTATATCCTTAGTCTTTTCTTTGTGCAGACTCTCCAATATTTGGGTTATGAGAAGTTAGGCTTCAAGGTATATTACTAACTACTTGGTTTTGCTTCATGTTAACATCTGGATGAAGGCTGGCGAGTTCTGTGAAAAGCAGACATGAGTTTGTCTTCACGGAGAGTAACATTGCCTGCAGTTATGCCTATAACTCTGCAGAAATGGGTATGGCATTTAAATCAGTCTTGTAATTCTGACTTTAGTATGAGTTGGTAATACATTTGCTTAGTGTAAATAAACAATGTTTAAAATAAACAGGGCTGTATTTAATTTTTCATGTATTTTTTTTTATTTCTCTAGTGTAATAAGAATATTTCTTTTCTGAGAAATGTAGATTTTTTTATGTCATTATGCAGAATATATGTTTACATAATATACATAAATACATATGTGTACATAATTGAATATTTGTTACTGTGCTTTTTTCTCGGTTAGTATAATTCTGTACCTTCTGCAAGAAACTGATTTTCCTTACAGATTAATGTAGTTTTTAAATGTAAAGTGTCATATTTGCATTTCAGAATATTAAAATACGCCTCTGTAGAAGGCTATAGTACTGTTCCTAGAGGAGGATTATTGGAGTCTTCTTCCACAGGCTTTGGATCAGCGTTAAACACAATGTACTTTTTCCTCACCCTCTCTGGCTAACACCTTAATAGTGGATGGTCCATCATGTATCCTGGGAATCAGAGTGGCAAGGTACAGTGTTTCTCTGCAGCCACTGTAGCTTGCCTTTTTTTGTTATTGCGCTAAAATGTGGAAGCAATGCAAAATTGTTACGGCTGTGTGCACTGGGATTGATTAGTGTAACTCTATGCATTGGGGGTATCTATGAAGTTAAAAAGACACGTGGAAGTGAAGTATGGAAATATGACTCTCTGCTAAGCCAGCTGTATTAACTTCTAAGGCGTTAGTTCAAACTGTAAATAATTCATTGGTTCGATTTATTTTGTAAATGTGTAGATATTTTTCAGATATTCATTGCTGCATAATGTACCTGAATCACTGTTAATAGACTCTTCTGTTCCTCAGAGGCTTTTAATATACCAGCAGTGTGAAGAATGAAATTTCACTGAAATATTGCTACAGTATTAAATGGTTCTTATAAGCAATTTATGTAGGACAGAGCATATACATCTTATGGCAGAGATCCAGTGGGTCTAAAGTAGTATATGAACACATAGCTCTTACTGATATGGGATGTATGATATTCATTCACATTACTTAATTGTTTGAGTTGGAGAGGAAGCCGGTGAACATACAATTTTAGTATGATTGATTGGTACAGATTAGATTATACTACTGTCTCAATAACATGATCACATACTACTTTTCTAGTATAGTAACTTCCTTTTCAGATTTAGATGTGTACAAGATGTGCTCTTACACAGTTTTATCCTAACAATTTGGTATATCTCTGTTACACCCTCTCAATCCTGTGGTTCCCTCCCCTTCCTCTCTCCTTCTCCCCAACACCCCATCCGATCTCAAATCTTCAGTTGTCATAGTTATTTTATTTTTGGCTGTTCTTTGGTTATTTGTATGTTAGGAGATGAAGGTCTTTGTTCTTGCAGTATGTAGTTCTGTTGGGCTCCTCTGGTACACACACAGTAGTAGTTGGTGCTATGTGGGAGGGCAGACGTGTAACTTTGCTCAATTTAGCATTCAGAAGGCTAGGAAACTCAGTTTTAACTGTACTGTATATTTTAATGGATTTCTTTTTTTTTTTTTTTTTTTTTTGTAGGCAGCATTCTCTCAGGAAACAAGGTTTTTTCTCTTTTGACAAATGCTCGGTACGATTGTTTTCTATGCACTCTCTCCTATTTTAAAATACAAATATTTTCACACTACTATCAAATTAGCTGTCAACAATTATTGGCTTTACTTCTCTTTATCTGTGCACTTTGTAAGCCCAAAATAAAAATAGTGGAAGTAGGAGGAGGAAGCAGCACAGGATGTTGCCTTAGGTAGGTAGGTATTGGGTTACACAGTTGTAAAAATCCTCCAGAGCATGTGTCCTCACCAAGGTCTCACTATATGCCAAATTTAATAGTCCTGTTTATGCTTGTGATGTTTGTATTTATGCATGCAGAATTCCTCCTGAACTCTCTATTCAGAAGGTGCTTTTGTTATTTCTGTAACAATACCCTAATTTCTGGAACTGGAATACTGCAGGGAGGGAAGACTGGAAGGCAGACAAGACAGAGCCTTGCTTGTCAGGGGTATCATTTGTGCATGCATATGCATGTGTGAACTTGTTTCTTATGGACATTAGAACGTTAGACATCACCTTTGACTTAAAATAGTGCAACTTCTATTTTATGCAATGCAAGAACGACTTGGAAATGTAAAAATGTTATATTAGCACTGCATAGTCAAGAGAAACTTAACCATTAGCTCATAAAGTAGTATTTTAGGCTAACCTCAATCATTATTTCTTAAATTCATGGAATGGATAATTGGAGAAGTCTAGTTTAATTGTGGTATTGCAAAAGTGGCAAGTCTTTTTTTTTTTTTTTAAACATTTCCTCCCTCACAAAAGGTAAAATTTTGTGTTACCAGTGTGCTCATCTGGCTGTTCTGCCAGTTTCTTGAATACATGGGTTTTTTCTCATTTTGATTCCAAATATCTAATATACTTTGTCCAAAGTTATTTCGTACTTCTTTCTGTTTTAAATTCTGCTATGAAGTACTTATCACAGTTGATATGTTTTATTCTTAAGTAATATATTTTTAACTAAAGCTACAGGGCCTCGTTTAGATTCCAAGGGGTCTTTTAGCACAGGCAGAAAAATGACTTGCTTAATAAGCATGGGGAATTATGCATACTGAATACTATTAAAACCAGATTTATAGTGTGTATATAGACTAGGCATATAATTAATCCCACACAGTTAGAGTAAATGTCGTCTTTATCTTTTGTATGAATAACTTTGTACTTCTCTAAAAATGTTTTTAAGAAATTAGATTTAAAAGGTCATAATGCATTCGAAATATTGTTTTACAGTCAAAGACCATTCATTTATTCAAGAGAAACACCCACAAGTCTATGAAACTTGTTATGTGATAAATAGAAGAGCACTTAGGCACCTGATGTTGGATGCAAGGTGTATCAACAATGAGAGTTGTTGTTTTTTCCATAGCAGCTGGGAACTTTATAGCATACTAAGTCACGCGATGTTAAAAAGCCTTGTGTACACAGGCGGGATGTGCTGCATCTGAACAATTTCCAGTGATTCTTGAAGAGATTGCATAGTGTCTTTTAAATGGAAGGAATATTGATTAGAAAATGAGGATATGGTTTAGATTCCTTAAATCTAGGACTGGTATAAGCATGCAAATTTCAAGATTCTCTTGCATCTTGATTCCATCCATTTTTCTGGCCTGAAAATGCATGCTGCTTTAATCAACACTAACCCCTTCCCCAAGGAAAAATGGTCACTTAAACCAAATTGTACTGAGAATTAGTGATGTCTGTCTGCAAGGCTAAGAGCATGAAAGTAATTTTTCAGTTTTGCATTTGGGTTCCCTGAGATGAAAGGCCAATGTTCTAATCCAGGAATTTTACATAAGGCACTTTAAGTGACGTGATAATGGTGCTATTAAATGGATACCTTTTATAAAATAACTGGAGGCAGACAAAGCATTCATGAGTGAAACATCTCTGTGTAAGGACAGTTTGAAAATAGTAATTTAAAGATGCATAAACAACACCAGTGCCCTTGTGTCTTTTGTACAGTAATAAAAATAAAAGAAATACAATAATAAATAATGTAATACAATAATAAAATAAAAGGAAGGGTAACATCCCACAAAAGTTTGAAGACAGATGCGAGGTTTAAGTGGGAGATGGAGTTGGATGTGCTTTAAAGACTTAAGGAACAGTGGTCAGAAAACCTGTGGTGTTTGAGGTGAAGTATTTGAATCGCTCTAAGGTCTGATTCTTAATGGCATGTTTTGTTTCATGACTTATTGGGGGATGTGTGAGAAGATAATGTGGATAACCACAGGTAAAGCAGTAAGATGGGCCTGACTGGAAATTCAGTATAAAATTAGAGATGAATTACTAGGATAAAGCATCAGGATATGCTGCTACTGGATCTGCAGAGTTTGATACAAGTAGTAAGGGTTTTGAGCTAGAACAAGAGTTGAGGAGGAGGAATATATATGGGAATGAACTGAGACTCATACTGGGTTAAGGAGATGGGTAGTGTGGTTTTTGAAAGAAGTTTATGTTTAAAATTGCTAGAAAGCCAAGCAACTATGTAGGCTCAAAGAAGGTTCTTGCCGTCTTTGTGTATTTAACGTGTGCTAAGACAGGTGCATTTTGTTTGGGGAGATGCCACAATTCTGGCTTCCTTTTGGTAATCCATACAAACTTTGTGAAACTAGTTTTACAAGTATCTCCCTCAGATACTTGTTAGAAGGAGTACGCTACTTTTCATGTTAGCTATGAAAGGATTTATGAGCTGCCTAGAATTCAGTCATCTGTTGTACTGTACTTGCAGATACTAAGTTACCTACTTGTGAGAGAGCCTGATGTGATGCTAGAGCTTCAGTTTGTGGGTGATAACAGAAAATGCTGGTCTGCCACCCTCCTTTTTCTCTTATTGTGGAAGACATCTGGTTAGGTCCAGGGACTGTTTAGGAGAGAGTTATTGACAGGGCCTCCTCAGGGAAAGGTATTGCAAGACCTTTCCCCTCCCTAATGATGTTGGTCAAATAAATCTAGGTCTGATATTATGCTTGATAAGGGTTCTGGAACCAATTTTTTCCTTGAATGTGTACTCTTTATTCTCAAGCAGGCCCATAGAAATGGATTCTGGTATAGCAGTCGTACGCCAGTTGACCAGTCATATTTTCTACTTTGAAAAACATGAAACCAGTTAAGCTTCCTACCATTTTTGATGTGTATAAAAATGTTCCCACATGTATAAATGAAATCAAAATGGGACTAACTTTAGCAGTCCCTATGGTTCAGCTGCTGGGGTGGAGACAGAGGTTTTTTTTCTATCCTGTGACATTCCAGTTTCTGCACACAATCTAATTTTAACAGAATATTTTGTACACAAAATTGTCATCAATCTTGGAATTTAAAATATGTAGCACTATGCTCCATAGTTGCCATGAAAGGTAGATGGGGGGGCGGGGGGTGTATGGGAGAG